CCCCAAAACCCCAAAACCCCAAAACCCCAAAACCCCAAAACCCCAAGGTGATGCACACGCATTGAGATGAGTCATAAATGATTTAACAATTTTTGTTTTATTTAAGTTAAATAATGATTCCAATATTAATATGGTCAAACTTAGCTTAAACACACAAATATGTCTGATACTCTATGGCTTTCCATAAGTAATTTAGATGTTGGTGTAAATAGGATATATATTGTATGAAATTGCTTAATACTTTTCTTGAGATCCAGGTCTTTTTCAATTCACAGTATTTGGCTTCAAATATGGGCCTGGGTTGGAAAAGACTTTACTTTGAGGACTCATTCTATCTTTTAGCTTTCGATGTCTTGATTTCACACTCTTCTTTATCCTAAATCCACTGTTAGAAGAAGTGAGAGTCTTCAAAGGAGAATTCTTTTCTCTTTTCATTTTGACTGCTTTAGACAGAGAAGTCATGATTTTAGCATCCATGTCTCTTAGTATCATTTTCCTAGACAGTTTTATTCTGCTCTGCATTTTTCTATCTATTTCGTCTATTGGGGGATGAGTAGGAAGCCTTACTTATTTTCTCGTTCATTTCTTCTGGGGTCATAACAGGATTTTGCTTAACGACAAGTGACTTCTCTTCCGGTTTTGCCAAGTCTTCTACAAATCTTTGTCCAGATCCAGAATCGACAAGAGGGTTATCATCCAGTTGGGATTGCTTAGTCTCCTCTCTTTCATCCTTGTCGGAGTCATCGTCAAACTTTATTGAAGTGATATTAGCTCCGCTGTCTTTCTCGCCAGCTATGGAGCCTTGGAAAGGTTCATCCTTGTCTTTGTCTTTGGCCTCTTTGAGTTTGTTTTCTTGTTCTTTGACCTGTCGTTTATGAGATCGGATGGCTTGTTTTATCCGAGTCTTCTTCCTCTCCTCAATTCTTTTATTAATGTAGTCGAATTCTTTGTAAATCCTTTCGTGCTTGATATTGATATCAAAGAAGTTGGGATGAGGCATGCCGTCTTTCTCTGCTTCCTCAATATCTTCTTCAATTTCGAAATCTGATTTTTCATCAGAAGGTCTTCCTTCTTTTGTCCTACAGTCGGAGAGGTAATCTTGAAGAGCTTGGTGAAGACTGAGCCTGTAGTTGCAACTAAGGAGCTCTCCCTGCTGAGTGGGGGTGAAAAACTTAATCTCATCCTCGTTCATTCCTTCGAAGTGATTGATTCGCTTATGGAAGGGTTTAGACCCGTCTGATTTGTTTTGACCCTCTCCAGATTTTTCTCCACTTAAGATTTTTGCTTTGAAGATGGTGTCTTCAGAATATGGTTGAGGCTTATGCTCACTTTGTGAGAGAATATGGGACTCTCAAATAATATGTTTTCTTTTAAGCATTGATTGCAAGATCGTTGAAGCTTTGTTCTGAACAGAATGATATTCCTCTCTGATTAAAGAGGATTTGTTTATCCCACTTTGCTCAAGGATGCTGTTTTGGTGAGCATGGGTCTCACTACTGCAAAATCAATATTTTGGAAGAGCAAATTCTTGGTTTCAAGATGATCATTCTAATGTGTAATTAAAAGACCATATTTTCCAATAAAGTTCTCTCCAAGAGACTCTATATCTTTCTTTGACAAAGCGAATGAATTTTAGAGTATCAAAGTCTGGATCGGCAATGTGATATCACATCAATCTTCCGTGAGCATCAATGAAGTAATCAGGATTTTGATTTCAAACAATCTGAGTGTTGTCAGTGTATAATGTATCTCAGAAAATGCATCTTTGTAGTCTCTTGGAATGATCATCTAACAGCTGCTCAAGCTTCTTGTCAAATAGTTTACTGATGAACTTATCTTTTCTTTCTCTCATAATGTCAAGTACTTCAACATCAACTAAAGAAGCTAGCTTTTCAAGTGTTTCAGGCTTGAGGAAGTTCATATTTATTTTTAGCTTGCAAATATCTTCAAAGTGTGTCCCAATGAATTCAATTCACTCTTCCTTGAGTTTATCCATTTTGAGATACTCTGCAGCAACCAGCAAGGTGATGATATTGGATAAGCTGAGAGTCAAATCGCTAATAGGCCTAAGAATGCTGGCTTCATACATCTTAATCGCATCAAACATTGGGAGCACTTGGACTCCGTTTACAATTTTTATGTTTGCATTGTTGGTAGTTTCAGTTGTCTCACAAGATGTACTATCCGATCCTGCATGCATTTCTTTATGAATTACCTGTCTGTCAAGGTGGATGTACTTTATAAGCCATTCGAATGTATCTAAATCTCAGTGAACGCTTATATCTAAGAGCTTATATGTCTATAATATTTATGAACTAATTACTCTATCTTCTCACCCATTGATGCTATTTTTCAAAATATTTCATATGCTTAAGGAGTTTAGAGGTAGATCATTTGAAGTCTTGCCTCCTTTTCTTAGTCTCATCAATGACATGAATGATAGCTACATTTCCATCAGTGGCTTCAGCTGTATTTGTAGTCTCTGAGTCACTGTTTTTGTCGCTGTCTGGGTCAATATTGCCATTGTGTTCACTTCAAGAGTATTTCTGATTAAATTCATCAATAAGGTTTTTACCTCCGACCTTAGTCGAGTTAGCGCCTCCCCCATCCATAGTAAAAGAAGAGCAGGGGGAATCATGGACATCTTTGGTTCTGGTCATGTTTATATTGGCCATCTTTCCAAATGGGATTGATTTACCTTTTGCTCTTTTGACTTTAAGTGAAGGGGAAATAGATTTGGCTGACGAATTTACCATCTTTATAGAGGAAGTTTTCTTCTTTGCACTAGAAAATGTTTTCCTTTTACCTTTATTTTAAAGGTTTAACCTGATTGTTTGCATATGGGAGAGTGGGAGAGAGATTCCCAGTCTTTTTGGCATTAGTTTCTGATAAGTATGATGAATTAGCTTTAAAGCTAGTACTCCCAGAGTTAGATTGATTGATTTTTAAGTTTTGGTTATCTGTGCTTGAATAAGAAGTCTTATTGAGTCCTATCATGCTTTCATTAGTTTTACTATCTTCGCTTCCTGTCGTTTTCCTCATATGGTTCATTAGCTTTTGTCTGCGACTAAAATGAAAGTGATTTGAATTTTTATGTATTAATGAAGTGACAATCTTAAGGGCTTATATTAAGTTTATGGTACAGCTTGAATAACTGTTATTTTAACAATCATAGTATGTCCTTAATATAAATATGATTTCAGCAGGTAAGATTCATGCCAAAATAGTTTGCAACAACGTTGTAAAGAAAACTGTTTCCATATTTGTTTTTAATTTGAGACAAATTAGAGGAATTCAGGACAAGAGAATTGGAAAACTTACTTGGTACTATCAATAATCATGGAGTTATATGAGCTTGAGTTCATCTGATAGTTTTTCTTGTTTCCTTTTTGGCTTCCACTGGTGTTCTTTCCAATCTGAATCATTGCTCCTATTATTTTTATTCTTCTAAAAATTATTTATACTGTTATATTACCAATATTATCACCCTGGCTTGGGGTTTTGGGGTTTTGGGGTTTTGGGGTTTTGGGGTTTTGGGG